ACACACACACTACCAGCGCTATACTGCATAACCTATGCCATTTGACAGAACAGCACCAGTATCAAAGAGAAGGGAGCGGACTGGCATGCCGTCTCCTAGCTCCTACACGGTATCATTCTCTCCTCGCTCCTACAAGACAGCATCGCTCTCGCTCTCTGGTAGACATCCACTGTGGGAGAGGAGAGGTTGCTCCAAACCCAGTGTGTCACTGTTTAATAACCTGTCTCACAGTCCACAGGGGTTTGAAGTCTGTCTGACAGCACTGCACCATGTGGAGTCATGTTTGGAGTAAAGAATTGCACAAATTTTCCATCCATAAATTGTGAGGAAACACAGATAAAGTGATGCTATACGGATGGGTTTGTGCCTTGGTGGGAGGAGTGGGTAAAAGGAGGGATGGGAGGAGTGCAGTTTGAACAATGAGTTAGGGGGAGCAAATCAATGCTGACTGCTACATGACTATTAGTGCATACTAAACAGACAGAGAAAAATATATCTGTCAAAACAATGCCTTCTGTCCTTTTCATTCAACTCCATGCTTTTACATCAGCCTCATGTGCAGCACTCCTGGGCCACAAGAGGACAATCAAAGAAAGGCTTGTCATGAGATACATGTTTACATTTCTCTGTTTGAAGCTGAAGAGGTGAAGGAGGGAGGCCAGGGGTAGAGTGAAATGGAAGCAGTCCTTCCTGCCTGCTGCATGCAGAGACTAGAACATGTCTAGTAGAGGTAGAAAGCAGGGCTTTGGAAGTAGCCATGTTGACTGTTAAGAACCAGGGACTTTTGTTTGACCCGGCATGGTTCTTCTCTCTTCTGACATGCTCCTCATTAACATCACTCAGGATCAGTTTGGGGAAGGCCAACCCCAGTGGCCTCCAGTCCCGGGTCCTGACCCTCTCCTGTCCTGCTGCCTGCCTGTTATGTTCCACACAAGAACACACTGACGGACTCCCCATCGAACCCCCTCCAGCCGCCAGGGCAGCAGCAGCAGGGTAGGGACACTTACAGCCTGCCTAGGCAGTGAGATGAAAGCAGAGGGAGGCAGGGCTTGGCCAACTGGGGCCACTGTGGCCAGTCATGTCATTTCAGACCCGGAGTGAGAGACACAGTGGTTCAACCTAGAGCTTCAGTCCAAGACTACTTAGTTTCAGAAAAACACAGTAACAGAGTGACGCTAAGACTCAGGTTTTCACCTTAAAATGTATGTCAAACAAAAACCAATGATTGCAAAGTTAAACAAACTACACTACATGACTAAAAGTATGTGGATACCTGCTCATCTCATTCCAAAATCAATCAACAGCCTCCACTCTTCTGGGAAGGCTTTCCACTAGAGGTTGGAACATTGCTGTGGGGACTTGCTTCCATTCAGCCACAAGAGCATTAGTGAGGTCGGGCACTGATGTTGGGCGATTTGGACTGGCACGCAGTCGGTGTTCCAATTCTTCCCAAAGGTGTTCGATGGGGTTGAGGTCTCTATGCAGGCCAGTCAAGTTATTCAACACCGATCTCGACAAACCATTTCTGTATGGACCTCGCTTTGTGCACGGGGGCATTGTCATGCTGAAACAGGAAAGAGCCTTCCCCAAACTGTTGCCACAAAGTTGAAAGCACAGAATCGTCTAGAATGCCTTTGTACAGTATGCTGTAGTGTTAAGATTTCCCTTCACTGGAACTTAGGGGCTAGCCCGAACTTTATAGTTGGCACTATGCATTGGGGCAGGTAGTGTTCTCCTGGCATCCACCAAACCCAGATTTGTCAGTCGGACTGCCAGATGGCGAAGCGTGATTCATCACTCGTTTCCACTGCTCCAGAGTCCAATGGCGGCGAGCTTTACACCACTCCAGCCGACGCTTGGCATTGCGCATGGTGATCTTAGGCTTGTGTGCGGCTGCTCGGCCATGGAAACCCATCAAGAAGCTCCCGACGGACAGTTCTTGTGCTGACGTTGCTTCCAGAGGCAGTTTGGTACTCGGTAGTGAGTGTTGCAACCGAGGACATGCGATTTTTATGTGCTATGCGCTACGTGCTTCAGCACTCGGCGTTCCGGTTCTGTAAGCTTGTGTAGCCTACCACTTAGCGGCTGAGCCGTTGTTGCTCCTAGACATTTCCACTTCACAATAACAGCACTTACAGTTGATCGGGGCAGCTCTAGCAGGGCAGAAGTTTGACGAACAGACTTGTTGGAAAGGTGGCATCCTATTATGGTGCCACGTTGAATGTCACTGAGCTCTTCAGTAAGGCCATTCTACTGCCAATGTTTGTCTATGGAGATTGCATGGCTGTGTGCTCAATTTTATACACCTGTCAGCAACGGGTGTGGCTGAAATAGCTGAATCCACTCATTTGAAGGGGTGTCCACATACTTTTGTATATATAATGTATATGGACAAGGACTAGTTAACAATTTCCACAGAACATTTGACAAAAACACATTTACTTGAAGAACAGTGTAGTTGCAAAGTTTGTGCTGTTTGTGCCGTCATTCTGTTACCAAACTTTGCATCTGCACTGTTCTTCAAGTAAATGTGTTTTCATAAAATCTTCAGTGGAAATGATGAAATGTATTCCTTGTGCATAGAGCTCTATGGTTTGTTTAACTTTTTAAATCATTGTTTTTTATTTTAAATATATTTTACAGTGAAAAAACAGAGTCTCAGCATCACTCTGTTACCGTGGAATTGCCCATATAGTACAGGGCCTAGTCAGAATTACTGATTGTTGATGACACCATTTCAAAACAAGGAAAGTGGTCTCTACTACAGTTTGTTTTCCTTGTACATTGTAGATAGCAGCTTTCTCCCCCCAAAACAACTCCTTGTTGTGATGTCAAAGGTAGACTGCAGGCTCATTTCTTTGTATCAGCCTACCTTTCATCTCAGAGCATCAAACATCTATAGGTCTATGCAATATATACAGTGGGGAGAACAAGTATTTGATACACTGCCAATTTTGCAGGTTTTCCTACTTACAAAGCATGTAGAGGTCTGTCATTTTTATCATAGGTACACTTCAACTGTGAGAGACAGAATCTAAAACAAAAATCCAGAAAATCACATTGTATGATTTTTAAGTAATTAATTTGCATTTTATTGCATGACATAAGTATTTGATCACCTACCAACCAGTAAGAATTCCGGCTCTCACAGACCTGTTCGTTTTTCTTTAAGAAGCCCTCCTGTTCTCCATTCATTACCTGTATTAACTGCACCTGTTTGAACTCGTTACCTGTATAAAAGACACCTGTCCACACACTCAATCAAACAGACTCCAACCTCTCCACAATGGCCAAGACCAGAGAGCTGTGTAAGGACATCAGGGATAAAATTGGAGACCTGCACAAGGCTGGGATGGGCTACAGGACAATAGGCAATCAGCTTGGTGAGAAGGCAACAACTGTTGGCGCAATTATTTGAAAATGGAAGAAGTTCAAGATGACGGTCAATCACCCTCGGTCTGGGGCTCCATGCAAGATCTCACCTCGTGGGGCATCAATGATCATGAGGAAGGTGAGGGATCAGCCCAGGACTACACGGCAGGACCTGGTCAATGACCTGAAGAGAGCTGGGACCACAGTCTCAAAGAAAACCATTAGTAACACACTATGCCGTCATGGATTAAAATCCTGCAGCGCACGCAAGGTCCCCCTGCTCAAGCCAGCGCATGTCCAGGCCCGTCTGAAGTTTGCCAATGACCATCTGGATGATCCAGAGGAGGAATGGGAGAAGGTCATGTGGTCTGATGAGACAAAAATATATATTTTTGGTCTAAACTCCACTCGCCGTGTTTGGAGGAAGAAGAAGGATGAGTACAACCCCAAGAACACCATCCCAACCGTGAAGCATGGAGGTGGAAACATCATTCTTTGGGGATGCTTTTCTGCAAAGGGGACAGGATGACTGCACCATATTGAGGAGAGGATGGATGGGGCCATGTATCGCGAGATCTTGGCCAACAACCTCCTTCCCTCAGTAAGAGCATTGAAGATGAGTCGTGGCTGGGTCTTCCAGCATGACAACGACCCGAAACACACAGCCAGGGCAACTAAGGAGTGGCTCCGTAAGAAGCATCTCAAGGTCCTGGAGTGGCCTAGCCAGTCTCCAGACCTGAACCCAATAGAAAATCTTTGGAGGGAGCTGAAAGTCTGTATTGCCCAGCGACAGCCCCGAAACCTGAAGGATCTGGAGAAGGTCTGTATGGAGGAGTGGGCCAAAATCCCCGCTGCAGTGTGTGCAAACCTAGACAAGACCTACAGGAAACATATGATCTCTGTAATTGCAAACAAAGGTTTCTGTACCAAATATTAAGTTCTGCTTTTCTGATGTATCAAATACTTATGTCATGCAATAAAATGCAAATTAATTACTTAAAAATCATACAATGTGATTTTCTGGATTTTTGTTTTAGATTCCGTCTCTCACAGTTGAAGTGTACCTATGATAAAAATTACAGACCTCTACATGCTTTGTAAGTAGGAAAACCTGCAAAATCGGCAGTGTATCAAATACTTGTTCTCCCCACTGTAAGTCAAGACCCTCAAATAATCAAAAGAGTAGTGTCAGGTTTAACATTTTACATTTACATTTACATTATTTAGCAGACGCTCTTATCCAGAGCGACTTACAGGAGCAATTAGGGTTAAGTGCCTTGCTCAAGGGCACATCGACAGAATTTTCACCTAGTTGGCTCAGGGATTAGAACCAGCGACCTTTCGGTTACTGGCACAACGCTCTTAACCACTAAGCTACCTGCTGCCACCAAAGCCTTCTTGTCCAATTCTATTACTCCAACAGCAGAAAAGTGGAGCACCTGCTGCAAATATCAGAAAACTGGGAGAAAAAAGGAGAGGCACTGCTTTGCCGGGTCGTCAACAGAAAAAACAAGGACTGCTAGAACTGCAGCGGGAAGGGGAGATAGGCACACACAGAGAAAGCAAGGGAGAGCAGATTGAATGGGACTAAGCAGTGGTTTGCTGGGTTCTTAATTGGTGTCAGAGTGCTAGGCCACACAGGAGAGTGAGAACTGGGCTCTTGGACCGGCGCCCCTCTCCTGGTGAAGGCCAAGCGTCCACTGTGGGGAGGGAGAGAGGAAGAGAGAGAGAGTTCAGCGCTTCACACATCCTCACCTTTGGACTTCATTAAAAACTCCCTCTCGACCCACCTCCTCCTCCTCTACCCCCTCACGGCCAGAGCTAACGGCTCAGCTACTTCTCAGTACAAAACGCTCTCACACCAGGACACCAGAAGAAAAGCAGAAAACAACATGGAAAAGTAAAACTGTGAACTCAATTCCTACCTACCACCAACCCCTACCCTTACTTCCCCCTCCACAGACACCACATACACACTTCCAGTAGTCACACAGGGGGTTGTTGTAGAGGCCTGGGTTGGATGTGGGATGCAGTTCTGAGAGAGAAGCACCCACAGAGGTATTGTTTTGACAGTTCTCATGGCAGTAAATGCCAAAGCCTCTCCAGTCAGGCAGGGTGCGTGTTAGTGGAGGGAACTCAAGGAGCCCATTATGATGTGCAGTGTGCACTCAACCTTTTGTATTTCTTCTCATCTCTCCCAGAGAATGGTCTCTCACAAGCCCACTGTGTTTTGGGGTTTGAAAACCATTCATAGTTTACTATTTATTGGCCAAATTGTGGGTGTTGAACATTTTGAGGAGGATATTATCTCTGGTGATGTTTGGTCACAGGACCAGCGCATGATTATGATTATTTTCATCCTGCACAAAATGAACAGAGATTATAGAGACGTCTACAGGCTCTCAAAACCAATGGATGTCAGGCTCTGAAAGTGGCAAAGAGAAAATGTCCTTAAGGATGTTAGATGACCGGGGAGAGTACAAGAACAGGCATTTACAATCATGAATCATGACACTTCAGATCAAGGAGCTCAAACAATGGCATACTGTGCCTTTAGAAAGTATTCACACCCCTTGACTGTTTTCACATTTTGATGTGTTACAAAGTGGGATCAAAACGTATTTAATTGTCATTTTTTTGTGAAAGATCTACACAAAATACTAATGGAAACTAAAACACTAATATATGTTGATTAGATAAGTATTCAACCCCCCCACCCCCACTCCCCCTTCGAGTCAATACATGTTAGAATTAACTTTGGCAGCGATTACAGCTGAGTCTTTCTTGGTAAGCCTAAGAGCTTTGCAAACCTGGATTGTACAATATTTGGACATTATTCCTTTTAAAATTCTTCAAGCTCTGTCAAGTTGGTTTTTGATCATTGCTAAGCCATTTTCAAGTCTTGCCATACATTTTCATACCGATTTAAGTCAAAAATGTAACTCAGGAATATTCAATGTCGTCTTGGTAAGTAACTCCAGTGTATATTTGGCCTTAGGCTATTGTCCTGCTGAAAGGTGGATTTGTCTCCCAGTGTCTGTTGGAAAGCAGACTGAACCAAGATTTCCTCTAAGACTTTTCATTTTATCAACAACAAAAAACTCCCTAGTCCTTGCTGATGACAAGCATACCCATAACATGATGCAGCCACCACCATGCTTGAAAATATGAAGAGAGGTACTCAGTGATTTGTTGTGTTGGATTTGCCCCAAACCTAATGCTTTGTTTTCAGGACCAAATGTTAATTTTTTTTGCAATTTTTTTTGCAGTATTACTTTAGTGCCTTATTGCAAACAGGATGCATGTTTTGGAATATTTATATTCTGTACAGGTTTCCTTATTTTCACTCTGTCTTTTAGGTTGGTATTGTGGAGTAACTACAATGTTGTTGATCCATCCTCAGTTTTTATATCAAAGCCATTTAATTATGTAACTGGTTTAAAATTATCATTGGCCTCATGGTGAAATCCCTCTCCGTTAACTGAGTTAGGAAGGACGCCTGTTTCTTTGTAGTGACTGGGTGTATTGATACACCATTCAAAGTGTAATTAATAACTTCACCATGCTCAAAGGGATATTCAATGTCTGCTTTTTAACTGTTTTACCCATCTACCAATAGGTGCCCTTCTTTGCGAGGCATTGTAAAACCTCCCTGGTCTTTGTCGTTGAAACTGTGCTTGAAACTCACTGCTCGACTGAGGGACCTTACAGATAATTGTATGTGTGGGGCAGGCACAGAGATGAGGTAGTCATTCAAAAATCATGTTAAATACCCTTATTGCACACCAAGTTAGTCCATGCAACTTATTATCTGACTTGTTAAGCACATTTTTACTATTTAAATTATTAAGGCTTGCCATAACAAAGGGGTTGAAAACGTATTGACTCAAGACATTTCAGCATTACATTTTTAATGAATTTCTATAAAAATGTATAAAAACATATTCCAGTTTGACATTATGGGGTATTGTGTGTAGATCAGTGACACAAAATCTAAATGTAATCAATTTTAAATTCAGTCTGTAAGACAACAAAATGTGGAAAAAGTAAAGGGGTGTGAATACTTGCTGAAGGCACTGTATGTGTGAGAAGAGTAGCCAGGTGCATTTCTTTAATTTTTTTCATGAAGCACTCCACTTGATACAAGGTGATTGCCTGTTTGCCCCGGGGGTGTGAAGGAACAATAAAATCAATACACCTCGTCAAGGACGGAAAGCCAGTATAGCAACTCCAAACTTTTTAGTAGGATAGCAGTGTTTCCCCTGGGGTGTGCCGCTGCTAAATCATGTCTGCCACTGCAAAAAAAAAACATTACAATAATTATATATTATAATTAGGGGTGTGAACGTTAAAAAGTTAACGGAATTGGGATCCTTAACTTGAGAAAAATCCCTAACTGAAAAACAATGGTCTCCCAAACTAAATTAAAATCACAGTGCAGTTTTAACAAAACATTATTTCTGCGTTATAGTCTAACTAGACGATAGGCTATAAAGGCCTGTGGAAAGTTGTGTAATTTAAATAAAACCAGTGAGGGAGAGGCAAACTTTCGTCTACTTTGCTGAATTTGCAAGGCATGCAAGACAAGACATTGCGAGATTCAGATTACCAAGAAACATGCGCACCGTGGTTCCCTCCTCGCTCTCCCTCGCCTGGGGCATATTCATTACTCCAATTCAGTTGCAAAACGTTTCTTAAACTAAAGCAAACGGAATGAAACGGGGAGGGACCTACTGGAATTTGTCAAACATAAACTAATTTTAGTTGCAAAACGTTTCGCAACTAATGATTACACCCTTGCTCTTTCTCTTCGCTAATGACGCGAGTGTGTTCAGTCTTCGGTCTGTTGCGTGTAGAATACCCTAGGCTATTCATTGATGATAGGCCCTGCTTTACTGAAGTTGCGAGACATTGCAAGCCAAGAAATTGCAAGATACAGCATTTTATTGAGAGATACAGCTTTTGATTGCCGATAGATATTCCTAGTTCACGGTTCTGACTCTCTGCCTGGTGACCGACCTGCCTACACTGTAACTCTCCCCTCTCTCTCAATCCCTTGCTAGCTCGCTATGAAAGATGCAAGTGTTTGTGTTCTCAGAATTACAGCAACTAATCAGTCTCCGTTCCAAACATACTGAATCTTAGGAGTATTAGGAATCTTGAAACTCAGAAATGGGAGTCGACGTGCAAGGACTTGAGGAATCTATTATTTTGGAGTCTACTCCATCGTCGTTCACAGTTGGAAAAATGGTAGAGAAAGGTAAGCGTCAGCAGCGAAGTCCTGTATGGCAATACTTTGAGAAGTTAAATGAGAAGGAAATACAAACTGGAAGGTAGAATTGAGGTACAGTAATTGTAATACAGGTGTAATGCTTAACCATCAGAAGGGGACGCACCGTGAGACCCAAACTTTTGCTGGCAGCACAGCTGCATTGTGAATTCACGTGGAATTTTATGATTAAAAAAATATTTTTAAATGAAAAGGCAATTTTAAACGTTATGAAACAATTTCAATGTCACATCCCTAATTATAGCCTAATGTAGATGTATCAGAGCTGCAAGAAAACGTGTGGAAAGGCAGCATTTGCCACATAACTTTTCAATACTTATGTAAATGTCATATTTCAGTTTGTTTTGCAAATGTATTTAAAAAAAATCTATAAACCAGTTTTTGTTTTGTCATTATGGGGTATTGTGTGTAGATTGATGAGGAAATATTTAGAATAAGGCTGTAACGTCACAATGTGGCCACACCACTTTTGATTTAGTGTATACTAGAAGCCTGTGTTTCAGACATAAGGAAGTGGATGGCTGAAAACTTTTTACTTTTAAACTCGGACAAAACAGAGATGCTTGTTCTAGGTCCCAAGAAACAAAGAGATCTTCTGTTAAATCTGACAATTCATCTTGATGGTTGTAAAGTCGTCTCAAATAAAACTGTGAAGGACCTAGGCGTTACTCTTGACCCTGATCTCTCTTTTGACGAACATATCAAGACTGTTTCAAGGACAGCTTTTTTCCATCTACGTAACATTGCAAAAATCAGAAATTTTCTGTCCAAAAATGATGCAGAAAAATTAATCCATGCATTTGTTACTTCTAGGTTAGACTACTGCAATGCTCTATTTTCCGGCTACCCGGATAAAGCACTAAATAAACTTCAGTTAGTGCTAAATACGGCTGCTAGAATCCTGACTAGAACCAAGAAATTTGATCATATTACTCCAGTGCTAGCTTCCCTACACTGGCTTCCTGTTAAGGCAAGGGCTGATTTCAAGGTTTTACTGTTAACCTATAAAGCGTTACATGGGCTTGCTCCTACCTATCTTTCCGAGTTGGTCCTGCCGTACATACCAATACGTACGCTACGGTCACAAGACGCAGGCCTCCTAATTGTCCCTAGAATTTCTAAGCAAACAGCGGGAGGCAGGGCTTTCTCCTATAGATCTCAATTTTTATGGAACAGTCTGCCTACCCATGTGAGAGACGCAGACTCGGTCTCAACCTTTAAGTCTTTACTGAAGACTTATCTCTTCAGTAGGTCATATGATTGAGTGTAGTCTGGCCCAAGAGTGTGAAGGTGAACGGAAAGGCTGGAGCAACGAACAGCCCTTGCTGTCTCTGCCAGGCCGGTTCCCCTCTCCACTGGGGTTCTCTGCCTCTAACCCTGTTGCAGGGGCTGAGTCACTGGCTTGCTGGTGCTCTTTCATGCCGTCCCTGGGAGGGGTGCGTCACTTGAGTGGGTTGAGTTACTGACGTGATCTTCCTGTCTGGGTTGGCGCCCCCCCCTTGGTTTGTGCTGTGGTGGAGACCTCTGTGGGCTATACTCGGCCTTGTCTCAGGATTGTAAGTTGGTGGTTGGGGATATCCCTCTAGTGGTGCGGGGGCTGTGCTTTGGCGGAGTGGGTGGGGTTATATCCTTCCTGTTTGGCCCTGTCCGGGGGTTTCTTCGGATGGGGCCACAGTGTCTCCGGACCGCTCCTGTCTCAGCCTCCAGTATTTATGCTGCAGTAGTTTATGTGTCGGGGGGCTGGGGTTAGTTGGTTATACCTGGAGTACTTCTCCTGTCTTATCCAGTGTCCTGTGTGAATTTAAGTATGCTCTCTCTAATTCTCTCGTTCTCTCTTTCTCTCTGAGAACCTGAGCCCTAGGACCATACGTCAGGACTACCGGGCATGATGACACCTTGCTGTCCCCAGTCCGCCTGGCCTTGCTGCTATTCCAGTTTCAACTGTTCTGCCTGTGGCTACGAAACCCCTACCTGTCCCAGACCTACTGTTTTCAACTCTTAATGATCGGCTATGAAAAGCCAACTGAGAGACCTGAGCCCTAGGACCATACGTCGGGACTACCGGCCGTGGTGACTCCTTGCTGTCCCCAGTCCGCCTGGCCTTGCTGCTATTCCAGTTTAAACTGTTCTGCCTGCGGTTATGGAACCCCTACCTGTCCCAGACCTGCTGTTTTCAACTCTTAATGATCGGCTATGAAAAGCCAACTGAGATTTATTCCTGATTATTATTTGACCATGCTTGTCACTTATGAACATTTTTGAACATCTTGGCATGGTTCTGTTATAATCTCCACCCGGCACAGCCAGAAGAGGACTGGCCACCCCTCATAGCCTGGTTCCTCTCTAGGTTTCTTCCTAGGTTTTCGCCTTTCTAGGGAGTTTTTCCTAGCCACCGTGCTTCTACACCTGCATTACTAGCTGTTTGGGGTTTTAGGCTGGGTTTCTGTACAGCACTTCGAGATATTAGCTGATGTAAGAAGGGCTATATAAAATAAAATTGATTGATATACAAATATATTGACGCAAAAGCGTTTAAAAGAAGGGCAAAGTGCTGTTTGATTAGTCAACAAGCGCACAATATCTCTGTCCTTCAAGTCGAAGTGCGGCTGGCTGGCTCTTTGCGTTTATTGACCAATCAGATTCACGGAAATCGCGGGCCGCGCACAACGCTCAAGGAGTGCTCTACACTTTCTTCCGGTATTCTTTTAGCAAGAATGATAACACATCACTCCTGGCAGACAAGCAAAACTCTTCCATAAATGTAGCAGCCTATATACCTAAAACACTAGCCATCTGACATGCTGTATTGCATGGAAACGAGACAATTTTTCCGTCGTATCAACTGTAGACTACTAACAACAACAGCTGCATAGTCTAGCAGTCTGTACTATGCGCCCCATCTCTCTGGCCAGGGTAATTGAAGTGGGAACGTTATGTATTTATAGCCCATTTGTTTGTGAGAAAATGTGAATCGGATCAAATTGTATTTATATTCAAACTTGGGCTGACTAGGCTACCTAGACTTTTTCAGTACAAAAATGATTAACTGGAATTAATCAATAAACGCAATAGCTGACAGAGACTGAGTAAATGTTTTATTAGCCGTGCATTTGCATAGGGTAGGACTACACGGAGCAAACCTGCATAAAGCAAGCTCAGCCCTGTGAGTTATCATGATGCTTTCTCTGGGTCGGTGTATGGGAAACCCCCCCCCACGCCCCAGTCCTTCTTTAAAATATAATTAATATGAGGTACAGTGTGGGAAAAAAGAATTTGATCCCCTGCTGATTTTGTACGTTTGCCCACTGACAAAGAAATGATCAGTCTATCATTTTAATGGTAGGTTTATTTGAACAGTGAGAGACAGAATGAGAACAAATAAATCCAGAAAAATGCATGTCAAAAATGTAATAAATTGATTTGCATTTTAATGAGGGAAATAAGTATTTGACCCCCTCTCAATCAGAAAGATTGAAGGGAGTGCTCCTAATCTCAGCTTGTTACCTGTATAAAAGACACCTGTCCACAGAAGCAATCAATCAATCCAATTCCAAACTCTCCACCATGGCCAAGACCAAAGAGCTCTCCAAGGATGTCAGGGATAAGATTGTAGACCTACACAAGGCTGGAATGGGCTACAAGACCATCGCCAAGCAGCTTGGTGAGAAGGTGACAACAGTTGGTGCGATTATTCGCAAATGGAAGAAACACATTTTTTAGTCATTTAGCAGACGCTCTTATCCAGAGCGACTTACAGTTAGAGTGCATACATTATTTTTTTATTTTTCATACTGGCCCCCCGTGGGAATCGAACCCACAACCCTGGTGTTGCAAATGTCATGCTCTACCAACTGAGCTACATCCCTGCCGGCCATTCCCTCCCCTACCCTGGACGACGCTGGGCCAATTGTGCGCCGCCCCATGGGTCTCCCGTTCGCGGCCGGCTACGACAGAGCCTGGATTCGAACCAGGATCTCTAGTGGCACAGCTAGCACTGCGATGCAATGCCTTAGACCACTGCGCCACTCGGAAAAGCACTGTCAATCTCCCTCGGCCTGGGGCTCCATGCAAGATCTCACCTCGTGGAGTTGCAATGATCGTGAGAATGGTGAGGAATCAGCCCAGAATGACACAGGAGGATCTTGTCAATGATCTCAAGGCAGCTGGGACCATAGTCACCAAGAAAACAATTGGTAACACACTACACCGTGAAGGACTGAAATCCTGCAACTCCCGCAAGGTCCCCCTGCTCAAGAAAGCACATATACATGCCCGTCTGAAGTTTGCCAATGAACATCTGAATGATTCAGAGGAGAACTGGGTAAAAGTGTTGTGGTCAGATGAGACCAAAATCGAGCTCTTTGGCATCAACTCAACTCGCCGTGTTTGGAGGAGGAGGAATGCTGCCTATGACCCCAAGACACCATCCCCACCGTCAAACATGGAGGTGGAAACATTATGCTTTGGGGGTGTTTTTCTGCTAAGGGGACAGGACAACTTCACCGCATCAAAGGGACGATGGATGGGGCCATGTACCGTCAAATCTTGGGTGAGAACCTCCTTCCCTCAGCCAGGGCATTGAAAATGGGTTGTGGATGGGTATTCCAGCATGACAATGACCCAAAACACACGGCCAAGGCAACAAAGGAGTGGCTCAAGAAGAAGCACATTAAGGTCCTGGAGTGGCCTAGCCAGTCTCCAGACCTTAATCCCATAGAAAATCTGTGGAGGGAGCTGAAGGTTCAAGTTGCCAAACGTCAGCCTCGAAACCTTAATGACTTGGAGAAGATCTGCAAAGAGGAGTTGAACAAAATCCCTCCTGAGATGTGTGCAAACCTGGTGGCCAACTACAAGAAACGTCTGACCTCTGTGATTGCCAACAAGGGTTTTGTCATGTTTTGCAGAGGGGTCAAATTTCCTCATTAAAATGCAAATCAATTTATAACATTTTTGAAATGCGTTCTTCTGGATTTGTTGTTGTTATTCTGTCTCTCACTGTTCAAATAAAACAACCATTAAAATGATAGACTGATCACGTCTTTGTCAGTGGGCAAACGTACAAAATCAGCAGGGGATCAAATACTTTTTTCCCTCACTGTACAAGGTTGCTGCAGTTGGATAGGGTTTTCAACCTTCCCAAGGCCAGGAGTTTTTCCAATAGTTATTTTTTTAAACCATGTGACCTGAATAGAAAATATTTAATATTTTTACAACAGATCACGTCATACAGTATAAAGTTTCACCTGGTTAGATCAAGAATAACTACGGGCCCCAGAATGTTTTTTTCGCCATACCACTCTGGGACCTGTGGTGCCACCGCTGAGATGTATAGATGTATGCCCCAGGAATAGAAAATAACAGCCATAAACCTAACAACAGTATAGACTCTGGAAAGGCGATTGCCAGGTATGTCTGCATTTAATGTCTGTTTGGTAATAATCCACCAAGCTCAGCATCTTTTACTTTTCCATGTTAGTTAACAAACAAATGACACCCTAGCTAAGCACAGTTCACAACATACGGCTGCTTGTTTCAGTTCTATTCAACACACTCCAAAATATGGGGCAAGTCACAAATATAATGCCATAATGCCACATGATTGTATGCGATGGCGGTTGTATATTTGCATAAAGCTTATTATTGGGTGGTTCGTTTAACACAAAGAAAACGCCTAGCGGCTGTGTTGTGTTCTGACTGCTGCTGAGAACTGCGGCCTGATTTAATGCCTGTTCATCTCGGAGCCCCTGAGCCAGCCTGCGCTGCCTTGGACCAGAGTGGCTGGCCTGGCATGTGTGCGGTGAAGGGAGTGAGTTCATCATTTCTCCTCTTGTGATTGTCCACTCTGGGAAAGTTCTTAATTTCAATTAGCTGGACAAGTGTGCTGTGGACACCTGCCACCCTTGAAGCCATTCCCATATTGAAGAGTTGGGAAAAAACGTGCTCTCAGCCAGTTAGCCTACCAGCCAGCCAGAGGCAGTCCCTCCCTACCCAGCCTTAAAGGCCTTAGGTGGATGTTTCTAGCGCTGTCACACAAACTGTAGGTACACACACTGTACACACACACACTGTAAAAACATACACACTGTACATACTCAAAACTGGGACAGAGTGAGCATGCAGACGACAGCATGGTCTGAGGTAATGGGCAATACAAACCCTGAGCCAGAGTTACTGACCAACAGAAAACAAAACAAGTTTTGCTCTAAACGACGATGATAACCTGAGGACTTGAACATTACTGACCTTTCTTTCATAAATGTTACATGCACCAAAACCCTCTGCAATGCTGATTTAACTGCCCCTTAATCCTATAGCCGCTACGTTCTTTGACAGCCACATTCTCTCTCCACTCAGGGTTAAAACAAAACCTGCCCTTAAGGGTCCAAAGACAACTCAAGGTGTGATTTCATCTTCAAATTCCTTTAGTGTCATTGCTCTTTAGAAACAAACACCTTATAGCATACATAGGCCTGCATCTTTCATGTTTATTCAAAAATGGTTGCATAATTGATATCAAGGGTGCTTTTTTGCATAAAAAAGCACACAGAGCAGAAAATATCAAAGCACCATACAAATCTGTCGAATACAGTAACATATGCTTGCATATCAACACAGTCTGCACTGGAACTAAGTACTGTACAGTCAGACTGGACTTCTGTCAGTATCATCACTATCACTGGACACCATTGGACTTGACATGAACAGGTGCATAAAACATTTAATTAAACATATTTGACATACACAGGACAGGTGCAGTGAAATGTGTTGTTTTACAGGGTCAGCCATAGTAGTATGATAGGTGCAGTGAAATGTGTTGTTTTACAGGGTCAGCCATAGTAGTATGATAGGTGCAGTGAAATGTGTTGTTTTACAGGGTCAGCCATAGTAGTATGATAGGTGCAGTGAAATGTGTTGTTTTACAGGGTCAGCCATAGTAGTATGATAGGTGCAGTGAAATGTGTTGTTTTACAGGGTCAGCCATAGTAGTACAGCACCCCTGGAGTAAATTAGGGTTAAGTGCCTTGCTCGGCTATTCCAATCAGCGACCTTTCGGTTACTGGCCCAACGCTATAACGACTAGGCTACCTGCCGCCGAAAACAAAAGGGAGAAGAGAGAATCAAGAAACAAGCACATCCCCTAGCTGTTTCTCAATTACATACATGTAGTCATACCCAGCCTTAAGAGAACATGTGCCTCGGCTTGGAAAGCTTTACCTCCGTCAATCCTCAGTTTGAAACCTGATCAAGGTAGCAGAGTAACAATGCCTCTCTTTATGTTACTAAAAAAATGAAAATTCCCCAATCAATCTCAGCGTCTTTAGGGAAAAAACATTGTGTGAACAACTACAATGTGATACTCTCTCATTCGATCAAATGTAGCAAAGTCTTTAGAGCAGTGAACAAGGGAAATTCTACCTCACTACAGTTTCTAGACAACATGCTGATGTAAACAAGTACAGTGGTGGTGCACCTGTGGGAGAAATCAGACAGCCAGTCATCTACCTGTAGCAAGCTACAGACCAGCCTGACAGTGACACTTACATACCAAAACTAATCTGCAGCCCTAGCTGCCGTTTCATGACCAGACCCTCTCTGCAGGTCATCAATGCACCCAGTGTTACAGAAACCAACCAACAAACAAACTAACCTCTCCATGAGTGGTTAAAACATTTTCAGCATGTTGTCTTACCTTGGGTTGAGCACGTCTAGGGAAGGCAACTTTAGGATCGATCTGGTAAATATTAAAAAAGAAGGGACAAGAGAGAGGAGAAAGGGAGATAGAATTAGATATCAATCATCATCAAAGTTGTCAATCACTTAAACACAACTAATCACAGGGATTTGGATGTGTGGGTTTAAAGCATGGATCACAAGACTATCCGACATACCGGCATGCACGATTTGGACAATGACAGTACAGAGACACTACACAAGGGGTATTCAAATCAGGCCTCGAGGTCCCCAAGTCTCCTTCAGGATTTCTGGTTTCCATCCTTCCCCTCTGATCAAGGACTGATTCAGACCAGGGACACCAGATGAGTGGACTCCTTTAACCAATCAATGACAATCAACCAATGAACTACCAGGGAGAGAAGAGAACCAGCTGTACTGGGAACCTTAGGGCTCAAGCCTCCTACACTAGTACACTATTATCAGTGTGGGATTTCACATCTTCCCCACACAGATTAATCAACAGTCATATTAAAGCTAGCTGATTTAATCAAAAGCACAATTTTTATTTCCTTTTGCCTCGTCAAATAGTCCAGGTCCGTTATTCACACAATCCTGCATTACTCCATAGAAGCATAGCTGACTAATAACTCACATTGACTCTGTACCGGTACCCCCTGTATATAGCCTCCCTACTGTTATTTTATTTTACTGCTGCTCTTTAATTATTTGCTATTTTTATATTTTACTTATCTTTTTTTTCTTCTTAAAACGGCATTGTTGGTTACGGGCTTGTAAGTAAGCATTTCACTGTAAGGTCTACACCATTTCAAATCAAATAACACTGACCGGAGTCATCTACTCTTTTAGCTCACATTATGGATTCAAATACATGGGTCATACAAGACTGCGTTGCTGCATGCTTTTATGGAGAACAGCCAAGGGGTTATTATGGCAGCCAATGTGAATTGGCACATTTGGGTTCGGATTGAATACAATGCCTGAAAACAAAAGAAGGCATTGTATTATTCATCGTTGCATCAGTTTACTGCACAGCAGTAATTTATGTGTTCACTATTTATTACAGGATTTGCTCTGTGTACGTAACTGCATCGTCAAAATGTAGCTCAAAATAAATGTGTGAGATAGCAAGTCAGGTGTTAGAACCAACCACAACCACAGGACTTCCTCAAGAACAACTTGTGCAAATCAACTCAGAAACATTGATTTGGACATTAATTTTCCCCTCTGACATACACTTCTAAAAGTGAAATCATGCACAAGAACACATCCCGTTAAATGGGACAGTCAGTGCATTAAAACAGCCAGGACATTCAAGACACATTTGCCATTTGTCACAGTAAGGTTGAATACAGCACCAACCATTCACTCTTCCTGTGAACAAAGGATTTCTCCTTTCACATTTTCATCTTTAAGGCCACATAGCTAAAGGCGGAAAATACCATTAGTGGAATATTGTGCATAAAGTAGGTTGAGAGCTTGTCAATTGGTTAAAAAAAAATGTGAAGAGCAGAGGGGAAATATAACAGAGAGCTGTCGATGTGTGACAGACAAAAATACTAGACACTGGTAGAAAGTGACTGTTTGAATTCAGCTGACTGAATGCATTAGCGGAGTGGGATGTGTTTTAGCCAGAAAAGTGTTTGGTCTACAAGAGATAGCTTTTACAAATGACATCAGCAGAAATCCTATTGTCGACAGACACTGAGTATTATTCAACCACAAGCCTTCATTTCCATGTTGTCAAGGATTACATAAAACATTATGCATGTCAAGTATATGCAGTATGTGTATGTAGGACATGCCTCAGCCTATGCAATCGAGGGAAATACATGTGCCACAATGTAAAACAACAGGTTTTACCTGTAGCTCAATTGGTAGAGCATGGCGCCAGGGTAGTGGGTTCGATCCCCGGGACCACCAATACGTAAAAATGTATGCACACATGACTGTAAGTCGCTTTGGATAAAAGCATCTGCTAAATGGCATATTATTTATTATTATTATTAAATAATGCTAACACTCTGCTTGTATACCTGTGAAGTAACTCTGTACTAAAACTAGTAACAAGTTAACATGTTGTACAATTAATTAGAGTTTAAGGGCATTTTGCAATCAAAGGCTATTCTAATAGGGAATAATGTACAATGAATGTTAGAGTAATAATATACTGACTGTATCCTGATGAAAGGAAAAAAATACACAGCAGCATTGAATTCCCCATGCAGACAAACCAAACCATGTCTGTTACTGTCTGGACTTCAATTTCCCAGTCCAGCCTTACCTGGCAGTGTTACAGCCAATTTATGCTTAATCTGAAAATGTGGTCAGAGGCGCCGTATGGATGATGTGACACAATTGCGGAGCCTCCGGAGGCATGCAGAGGCCGAATTGAGCTCCATACCGCATCGCCATGCGCCTGTCAAATGTTGTAACAATGCGGAGGGCGCCATATAGCTCCGCATTGACATGATTGGTTGACGGTGGGTGAGGGCGGGAGGTACTGTATAAACACAAGCTCACTTCCTTGAAAACTTCCTTCACAACAGCTCTGCACTGCTCCGCAAAGTGCAAGAAGTATGAATGCCCTGACTTCTGCAGAGGCCATATCACCGTAAATCCTGCATGGCCAATGCAGACGGTGGATTGATCATGCAGCGCCTTTTAAAAAGGCCCAGTGTGTTTTATGTAGACTGAACAAAACTATAAGCGCAACATGCAACAATTTCAAAGATTTTACTGAGTTACAGTTCATATAATGAAATCAGTCAATACATTAATTCATTAGGCCCTAATCTATGGATTTCACATGAGTGGGAATACAGATATGCATCTGTTGGTCACAGATAACTTTTTTTTAAAGTATGGGTGTGGATCAGAAAACCAGTCAGTATCTGGTGTGACCACCATTTGCCTCATGCAGCGCGACACATCTCCTTCACATAGAGTTGATCAGGCTGATTGATTGTGGTCTGTTGTCCCACTCCTCTTCAATGGCTGTGCAAAGTTGCGGGATATTGGCGGGAACTGGTACATGCTGTCGTACACGTCGATCCAGAGCATCCCAAACATGCTCAATGGGTGACATGTCTGGTGAGTATGCAGGCCATGGAAGAACTGGGACATTTACAGCTTCCAGGAATTGTGTACAGATCCTTGCGACATGGGGCCATGCATTATCATGCTGAAACATGAGATGCTGGCGGCGGATGAATGGCACGACAATGGGCCTCGGGATCTCGTCACAGTATCTCTGCAATCAAATTGCCATTGATAAAATGCAATTGTGTTCGTTGTCTGTAGCTTATGCCTGCCCATACCCCAACCTCCACCATGGGGCACTCTGTTCACAACGTTGACATCAGCAAACCGCTCGCCCACATGACACCATACACGCTGTCTGCCATTTGCCCGCTACAGTTGAAATTGGGATTCATCCATGAAGAGCATACTTCTCCAGCGTGTCAGTGGCCATTGAAGGTGCGCATTTGCCCACTGAAGTCAGTTACGACGCCTAACTGCAATCAGGTCAAGACCTTGGTGAGGACGACGAGCACACAGAAGAGCTTCCCTGAGATGGTTTCTGACAGTTTGTGCAGAAATTCTTCGGTTGTGCAAACCCACAGTTTCAACAGCTGTCCGGGTGGCTGGTCTCAAACGATCCCCCAGGTGAAGAAGCCAGATGTGGAGGTCCTGGGCTGGCATGGTTACACGTGGTCTGCCGTGGTGAGGCCGGTTGAACGTACTACCAAATTCTCTAAAACGACGTTGGAGGCGGCTTACGGTAGAGAAAATAACATTAAATTATCTGGCAACATCTCTGATGGACATTCCTACAGTCAGCATGCTAATTGCACACTCCCTCAAAACTTGAGACATCTGTGGCATTGTGTTGTGTGACAAAACTACACATTTTAGAGTGGCCTTTTATTGTCCCCAGCACAAGGTGCACCTGTGTAATGATCATGCTGTTTAATCAGCTTCTTGATATGCCACACCTGTCAGGTGGATGGATTATTTTGGCAAAGGAGAAATTCTCACTAACAGGGATGTAAACACATTTCTGCACAAAAGTTGGCAGAAATAAGCTTTTTGTGCATACAGAACATTTCTGGGATCTTTTATTTCAGCTCACGAAACATGGGACCAACACTTTACGTGTTGTATTTATATTTTTGTTCAGTATACATTTCCACATGATGAGGTTGGAATAATACTGTGACATTGTGAAAATTATGAAAGTGCCCTTTTAGTGTAAGAGCTGTTTGAAAAGACCGCCTGAAATCTGAGCCTGTTTTGGTGGGATGAAGTTTTGGCCTGCCTGGTGTCAACACTTAATTAGTTAATAGACCATAAAGAAAGAGAGTTCCAAACCTCTCTGCCAATAACAGCTCATTTTACATTTTCCCCTCCCCACTCAGACCACACAGTCCTAGTAAAATTCCTGCTTGAGAAATTGGTCTTTGCTAAGAAGCTATTTTAGTTTATTTTTGACCATTTTAATTGAAAACAACCACAGTAAGGTACTTTGTTACCCAGAAAGGATTCGATATTGAGATAAAAACGGCTGCATTGGACCTTTAAGGTAAGATGTGACTCCCCTCCATTTCACACTGCACCAGCACTTTAAATGTAGAACACCTCCCAAGGCACAGAGGGGAGTCGGCAGCTCAATGTTGCCTCTGTTCCATTATACCACACAAGCAGTAGAAACACTAAAGACTCTACTATAGGTCCCTTAAAGCATGGATAATGTCATTAGCTGTTTTCTAATAAGCCTATGTAGACGCAGGTCAAGAAAGGAGAGGGGAGAGAAGGCATCAAAAACCCTTTTAGGTACACTTCGAGAGTTAGGGAGAGGGAGTGTGTGTGTGTCTGCTTCCTTTGCTGGGCTAAAACTGCATGTCCTCTCAAGTACAGATTTCCCTTTTCAGAAAGACCGTTTGCCCATTATCAATAAAGTTCTAGAGGGGTACTAATTCATCTCAACATCACATTCAAATCTGCAGTCATAATAATCCCTGTACTATTCCAAATTAATTAGGCTAAAAAATAAATTGCATATACATTAACAAAAATGCGCATTTTAAAATGATATCAGGGTAATTTGTCAGAAGTGACGTGTGGGAAGTTAGGCAGAAAATAATTTGGCATTTCCTTTTACATCTTCAGCTATCTGTTTCATAAGTCTAGAACAGTGTAACTACACATTATTACTTAACGTACAACTTCTGTAATGTTTGTGTCATGCACAATTTTAAAGTTTTGTATGAACTCACAATTGAGATACGAGTGACATGAAAAGTGTAGAAGTTATTTTGCTAACAAAAACACATTTAAGTTTGTTTGCAAATGTACCAGTAATGCATGTAAAAATGTCAGTGTATTCTCATTACAAACAGCAAACACATTACAATATACATGCCTATGTAACAAGCATGTATTTGCATGCTACATAACAATGCCACAGGGCCATTCCAATCAAATTTACATTAGCCAACAGAGGAGTACGAGAATCATCAAAAATAAGCAAACTGACCCATATGGAAAATCAAACACTAAAACGCAGAGGGTGAATCATCACAATACAATTTCAGTCAAGGCATTACTCTGACCAACTCTCACCCTCAGAGAAACATGAATCTTTTAATTAAGTGTCAGTTTTAATCTATCCAATATCAGAGGAGGCTGGTGGGAGGAGCTATAGGAGGATGGTCTCATTGTAATGGCTTGAATGGAATAAATGGAACGGAGTCGAACATGTGGTTTCCATATGTTTAATATCTTTCTATTTATTCCATTCTATCCATTACAATGAGCCTGTCCTCCTATAGCTCCTCCCACCAACCTCCTTTGATCCATCCATACATTCAGAAACTAAATATCCTGCAACAATACATTTACCAATTTAGGTATATTTTTATGCCATTCTCTGGGGATAACAGATAGTCTTGGGATTGTGATTTAAAATGGGTCAGGTTGAGCGAATGTGTGCACTTTAGCAGACTTGCAGTGAGAGAGGAAGTGGATAATATGCAGACAATTGAGATTAAGACCGGGGTAAATGGGTGGATACTGGGGCCAATGATGCAGTCAATTGGGACTTGGGAGGATGAGAAATGAAAGTTTAACTCAAGATGGGGTGCTTTTAGAAAACAACATTTATTTATAAATAAACTGCATTTTGTAAACAGAAAGGTCAATAATGCCTGATGGTGCATGAATATGGTACATGAAAAACAATGCCAAATATGTACAACAATGTTTAGCCTACTAAAATCTTTAAAGACAGCTGGGAATGCATTTTCACAAAAAACAAATACAGAATGACAATCACTTTATATGCAGATTCAACAATAAACATGTTCCCCATCTCAAAACACTCAGATGTTCCTGGAGAGAAAGCGTTGCAGGTGCCATTGGTGCTCGAATTACTTTATGTAATATGGCACTCAATGGTAAAGAAAGGGTTAGCAGAAGGTCTTGTCATTTGAAGGAGGAGAGGGGAGCAAGCTCAGAACGCATAATTAGCTTGGCTACTTATTGGCATCAAGTATATGTGGTTGTGAGAGTGAATAATTCAAATAACGCTTAGGACATAGTCAATCATGCCAGACAGGTGGGTCACAAAACCACAAACACTTTAAAAAGTCACAGAAGAGAGGAGACATACCGTTTTTGAGTCTAATTCGTGATGTGGCTGAGCTAAGACGTTATCTACACTGGCAGCATCTATGTAAGTAACGAATCCGAAGCCCCTGTGGAAATAAACAAGAAACATCGTTAGCAGTGAGTCAGTCAGTGGGGGACAGGAGAGTGGTCAAACAGCCTTTCAGTCAGTAAAGTATAACTACAGCCGTTACATTGAAACAAATAATAAAGCCAAATGACAGGCTACATTGTAGCCTATCAAATATATAATGCAGCCAAATGCTACATTATAACAAATATTTACCCACGTTGGCTATATCGGTAGGCTACTTGATATCAAAATAGTTTACCTTTCATATCAGATTCAATTATTTATTAAATGTAAAATGCCTTGTCTAATTATTTCCCATATTTTCAGGAATATTCTAAGATCCTCCAGTATTCTATCTGAAGTGGCCGGTCAATGTCAAATTGCGTTGCCTTTGCAATGCGCTGATTCAATCGCTTGTAAAAGCTCAACGTGCGACAAAAATAAATGACTGGTTGCTTGCTAACTGATTTTGCGTTCTTATAAGGACACTGCAAAACCACGTACGTTGACAATTAAGACATACAAACACAGTGGGAAAATGTACTAGTTAATTACCTGGAGCGTTTTGTTGTTGGATCTCTCATCACCATACATTCTCTGATTTCCCCGAATTTAGTAAAATAGTCTCTAAGGCTGTCTGCAAAAGAAAAACAAACTGGAGGTTACTGCTCGTTTTCACTCCTCTGTCAAATATAGAATAGTCTATGTATGAGCTTTAAAATGACTCTCTGGTTATGCACATAGGGGTCGAATAGAGGACTTCAAATGATTGGAAATAAAAAATAACCGCGCGCACACGCACGCACGCACACACACACACACACACACACATCAGACGTTACAACCAGCACCCACAGCCTCAGCTACCACAGAACACAACCCGACAATGCCACACTGTAGTCCGCAAATTATTTCCTTACCTGGTGAAGTTTGCCAGCTGAGGCCACCGATAAACATTTTACTGTAAGGGGGAAACATAGCAGAAGTGAGTACAGATGTCAGATCGGCCATTTTGACGTGTAGCTAACTACTTAGCTAGCTCTAGCTAACTACTTGCTATAGCGACAAAAAGCGAGCAAAACGAAGGCAGAGCAGCAGCAAGAGAGCTGTAGTTATCAAGAGCTTTAGAAAAAGGGGACAGGCCCGTTCGCTAATATAATCAAACAAAGGTGTAGTTGACTGCACCTGGAAAGCAACATCAATGTCAGTGCTTTGATAAGCCTCGCACTATCGATACAATGTAGCTATAACGATAAAAGTGTCAGTGCTGTTCGCAGTCTTACCCCGGGTCGTGTTGCGAATCATTAGGGCTTCCTCCAGATGTGGCTTGGCTCCCGTCTCCCTCCATAGCTAACCCAACTATAGCCAGTAACTAACGAAGACACAACGCTACACCGAAGCCCGCTAAAGAAAATATTACTGAGCTGGCAATGCAAGCGTCACACGTGGGATCAGCTAAGCCTGTGGCCCCCTCCCTTGACCCACATGGGGCGGGGTAAGGGCTCGTCACCTAACCAATTCAATTGACGTCATTAAGCATTCCCCGCCCATATACAGATGTAGCTAACCATTGTGAAGATTTGTTGTGTGTGTGTGTGGGGAAAGGGAACAACTACATCATCGATATACCAATACAATGTAACATTATTGTAATATTTTAATATTTAACAATTGTGTTAATGTAGCAATTCCTGTATTAGTGGTGTGTTGTGTGTGTGTGTGTGTGTGTGTGTGCGCGCATCCTAACAACATTTTCTATCCAGTTACACAGACTGTACGTGTCCTTGCCTCGTAATGGCTATTTCCTAGATTGTCATGATACTGGAATATATTTCAGATGGCCACTGAGTAATCTGTAACATCTGTGAATTTGACATAAAACACCAAATCAGTTCTCTGCAGCTGGATGGGCAGCTTGACCAATCCTACTTTATTTACCAGCTGCCATGCAACCACACAAGTTCACTAGTAGCCTGCGGCTTTATGTTGACAGAGGGGATATGTGATAGATTTCCACAAGTGTTTTATGTAATAAATATCTAAGCAAACTTTATATAATATGAAAATGTATGCACTCACTAACTGTAAGTTGCTCTGGATAAGAGCTTCTGCTAAATGACTAAAATGTCAAATGTAAATATAAATGTAATAAATATAAATCAGGCTGGTTATGCACTCTACCTATCAATCTAGGTCATGTTAGCTAACATCTCAACAAGTAAAAAAATTGAATATTATATTGTGACATTGGCCTATTACAGAAAAAAAAACTGCATGTCCAAAACAAAGATTGAGAATGTATAACCATGGAACCACTGAAACCAGGATTGTGAAAGTGAGAGCTCAATTAAGGCTGGGTGCTCATGCTACAGTGATTGCTGTGCATTTCCTCAAACCCTCTCTGAGCGAGATAGAGGATAAGAGAAAGGGGGGGGAAAGAAAGAAAGAAAGAAAGGAGGCAGAGAGCGAGAAAGACAGAGAGGGAGGGGGGGGGGGGGGGGGGGGGGGGTGGAAGAAGAGAGTGTAAAGAGAAAGTCCCAGGGTCCATTGACAGGTCATCACTCTTTCTTTTCCCCACTTCTTTATTTGTTTTCCCCCCTTAAAGTAGAGCTTTCAAACCACATAAAGTAAAGGCTGCACACATCAAGCCAAAGACTTGGCAAAGCCGACTTAAATCTGACTGATTGATTGGCATGTGGAGGCTTGCGGTTTCACCTCACTGGCTAGCTAGCATTTAGGAGCTGTCTTACTGTTGGTTAACTACACAGAGAGAGGCACCGCTGGGCCTTCTTCCTCCCCTAGCAGTTGGTTTATTTTCACTCGGAAATTCAATGTGAGAGCACAACAAAATGCCTATGCTGCTACCAAAATCATAGTTCACCTCACTCAATCATTTAGATGACAATGTACTGTTATTTTGTATTCATTGCAGATGATTGACATTAAGGGGTGAATTAATTGTTGATGGATAGATTCCAGTTGGCAAGACAGAAAAACTCTATATTTACTGACGAGCCTGGACATTTTTGTTGTTGTTGACATTTCATCTTTACAATCAAATGACTGCTTAGTCAGTTGCACCTGTTGGAGTCTCATGTTTGCATCTGCATCTGAGGCTGCTCACAAACAGACAATGTTGGTTTCAGTACTAAAGCTACATGCTAAATTCTAGGTCCATGGCTTCATAATCATAATGGAGCAGACAGTGCTCATTGTAAAAATGATCTTCAAATTTCGCACAAAAAAACCCATTAACGTTCATTACGTTTATAATAACATTTTAAATTAAGCTTAGATTGCTGTAATTATAACTAGAAAAATACTTTCTAATTGTATAATTAACAGTAACAAGCACAATACTTAATGACTATCATAAGTTATTATTAGGGTGCTAGGGCATCATCCAAGTATTAAACAAGCATCATAAAATAAAGTGCTGCCCAAATACCAAATACCTATTTGATAAACCTTCAACACAATTATATGGCTACATGTGGGTAAAAAAAACATTTTCCTCTCCTCAAATCATGTTCTCTCCTCACCTCCAGTGGATGTTTATGCAACATAATCATCATCCTAAGAATACTTCCAGAACCAAATGAGGGACAGAGATGGGAAGAGGACAGGGCCAGAGGACATGAGGATACAACACAATGGAGACAGAGCCCAGGCGTTCAGGCCTCAGGGTCCAGACTCCACAGTACTGTTTCCATTTTCCCCCTGTAATCATGGACTGATTCAGACTTGGCTGCCGGGGAGACCAGGTGAGTGGACTCTCTGACTGGCCAATTAGGGACATTGTTGTTCAATCTAATCAGGTCATTAAAAAAGAGAGAGTCCAAACAGTATAGCTCTACTGTATGTTTATCACTGTATAGAAATGTCTCCAGCCATCAGCAATCTGTGATTTGATATCTTTAAAAGGACTTCTCATTTTCACACATGCTCAGTTTATTATTGGTCTACGGTCACCTCAACAACAATATGCCGTATATTACTTCCATTTATCATAAAACACATTGTTAATCTTGATATCAATCATCTGGGGTATAAACTACACTTTGCTTATCCTCCAAGTGTAATTGTATTAAATATTAAATTAATTTGTAGTTAGCTTTGGTTAAAAGCTTACAACGTACAACCTGCCGTCTAGGAACCTGATCTGGAGCTGTACACAGCTGCGGTGAGCAAATAATAGCCAGCTCCTCAATCAGTGAGTCAACAGGATCTGAAGAGCTACGTACACAGATGTGTGCATTGATTACCTCAGATACAGAGAGGACAGGTTCACTGGTGGTTAGGCTTTAACACTAGTGGAACACAATGAAATAAAGCAACAGGCCTGACAGACTGGCATTAGTGGGAGCCTCCTGGAGCCCCAGGGATCTCTGACAAATTGGAGCTGCCATTAGAATGTATTGTAAAGAGGCAATTCTCCCAGATCACACCAAGTAATGGAGATAAGAGGATCCCCCAAGACTTTCTCTTCTTGGGAAGATGAGTGGAGGAGAGGAGAGGAGACTGTAGCGTTATCAAAACCAAAGATGATAGGAAATTACAAACTGTGACTTCATTAACCAACTGGGGTCTTGGAGGAGTCACTTAATTTCTCTACACATTTTGCGGTGGCCTCTGAATCTGTTCAAACCAACTGTAGACTACATATTCAACTGCTATCATTAAAATCACCATGTATACATATCGATATTAGCACCACACACTTCTGTAAAGACAGTAAGCTGGAAATAAAAAGTTACTCTGATAACATTGTGGTTGCCACACAGTAACTAATAAACATTCTATAGTACCTGCTGATAAGTGACAAATAATAACATTTGACTGGTTCAACATATGGTCATTACATGCTAATTCGTAATTTAGTAGTTACAGTTAATGAGCAACATGTAGCCTAGTCCTAACATTATAGTAGGTAAGCAACACAACGTTTGAGATGACAAGGGAGTTCCTTCTATGTGGGAGAATGAGCAGCATAGCATGCTATTGTCTGTCACTCTGTTGTCCTACCCCAAGATCTATAGTATATCATACCCTTCAGAAGTCAACTCCTGATAAATGCAATGGTTTGGGATTGTCATGCTAGTGTGACAGACATATATTCAAATGAGATTGAGAAGCCTGCTAACCAGAGAAATAAACACTTTTATAGATGGCATTTTTACCACAGACATTACTGGTCAAACTGACATATTACTGTCTAAATAGTAACATATTGCTGACCAAACGGACATGGCTGATGTACTGTGTACCAGATTAGTGTGCTGCAGTGGTTTATGGTTTTGTGCTCAATTAACACCAAGACATGTTAGAACAGAATTCCCCATGTGAACAGATCCCAAGTGTAATTTCCTTCCATCCTGTTTAAATGCAGACAGATCATTTCACGTGGGCTGATTGCATGGCAAACATCCTGTTTTGTTTTTATGCGTCTTTATTAGATGTTGAAATATTTCTACAAGTGGACAAAACCCCTATCTGTTTTTATTTGTTACTAATTAAAACACATTGAATCTGTTAATGAAAAAAGCCCTCCATGCACAGAGCAGTATCATATTACGTGCCTGGTCGCTTGATGTTTTGTTTTGGTTACAGTGTGATGTGTCAGCGATGTCAGATGCATGTTACTGCCAAAGGCTTTAGTGCAATGACAGGCACACACAGTCACACACACACCGGCACATTCAGTTAAATAACAATGCATCCTGTTGAAAAAATTAAAATACCAGGCACATCAAGGAAGCCTTAAAACAAAAGCTGTGAGCTTTCATTCTAAAAAGCTGTGGGTCTGAGCATCAAAGACACAGCTTCTCTCACCAGTTTGTAGAGAGAGAGACTCCTGCATGAGTAGGTAGTCTACCCACACTACTTTCTAACTCTCTCCAAGACACATCAGTAGATCAAATGGTCTCAAAAACAGGTGCTGAGCACCCACTCAAACTTGAACTACAAAAACACATAAAATACTTTTATACAGTATATGCTCTTTGGGGTTACCTGATGTTTGTTATCATCTTAATATACATTTATTCATTCAGTTATTGTGTATCAATTATTTTTTTCCTGTATCTGTCCATCTAGATTCTATAGTAGGCTAAGTGCCACTTGTTCCATCCTGTTGACTGACATCTCCTCTGGGCTTTGCTTTGCTACTCTGTTGTTAAGCTGTCTTCATGGGTGACTTGTCAGTCCCAGTAGACCTTTCACAGTGACAGGTCCCACTTATGGACAGACTGTAGCTGCATCTCAATGAGAACTGCCACCCTGCGTAGCCTGGCACAAAGCACCCTGGCCTTAACCCATGGTAAAGATACCTAGGTGGCATTAATTCAG